GCATCTTATAACTCAATAGTTACACTTTCTTATGTCTCTCATCTGGTGTGGCAAAGGGAGTTCAAGGTCAAGCATTCAATATCCATGCACAGCCAAGCTATGTGCAGAAAAGCAGCTGTCTACATCTGTAAAGTATCTGTAAAGTGGCTTAATAACTTTAACAGAGATGTACTACAGTATAAAATATTTTGTGAAGTGCTCCATTCCTACACATTGGCTTCAATTGTCTGTGGACAACGTAGAATCTCTTGTGTAAAATACCCTGACTGGTGATCATATTGTGTGGCTTGTGGTGCACAGGCATTATCACAATCCAAGCAATGCTCAATGTTTGCCACCAAGCAAGTATGAGATGACAAAGAAATCTGTTATGTGCTCTCCAATTCATTATGTTCAGGAAACATTAAAAGAGATCTGTCTGTGGTACTGCAAAAATCAATTTAACAAGGTGTAGCAAGCCACTTCTATTTTATTGTTGCATAAGGGACAGAAAAAAAATCTACCTGAAGGGTTAGTCTTGGCTTGCATTTCATGAGACACCTGTACATGATGAACTAGATCAGGAACAAAGGTGGAAGGTCTTGGTGTCATGTACAATACAAATACAAAATGTATACATATTTATAGTCATCTTCAAAGCAAGTGAAGAGGAATACGAGTAAATGAGAAAAGATAACACACTGCTTTTCACAATGGTTCTAATGGCTACTCTTGTGTATTTAAATATTGCAAAACCTTCAAAATGAAAAATAAACCAGCAAAAGTTTTGAAATGGTTCAGCATGAACTTGCCATGAGAACAATTTCTCTGCTTTTCTTAGATGGAAACATGATCAAATAACGGCGGCATTAACGTCACACCCTCTTAAAAGTTTACATTTCAAAGTCATTCAGCATGAAACAAATGGAGGTAACCCAGGATGCCTGAGGCACACAGATGTGTTAAGATTTATTAAGGAGCTACGTGACTTAGACCAAACAAGGAAAAAAAAACCAGTGCGATACTCCCAAAATCCTACTTTGATTTGGCTTATCAGTTGTAAATTGCAGTGAAAAGTGACGTGACAAAGCAGTTCTCCATTATGCAAGACTAGCATATACTTATGTGCTATTCAGAGCCCAATGTAATTCTTTCTTGGGTCTTCACATCAAGGCCCATATGTTGGGAACAAGCTTTGCTCAAAAACCTGTAAACCTTTGGGCTACCGCCATATCGCAGTGAGGGCATCAGAGTAAAAGATTTCCTCATCTGAATGGGACTGGCTGGTGAGATACTGTAGATCCGGTGACTGCTGTCACCAGTTGCAGACATGCTATCACATACTGACAGCATGGGCACACAAACAGAGCTGATCCAAGAGGTGTATAAAGATATTGAAAGCAGAAATAGTCAAGTTAATCCCAGACAAAAAGGACCATCCTGCTATTAGAATGCAAAGTAAATTATTATAAAACATTTCCATTTTAGAATTACAGTGACTGAATTGTTTGGCACATAACAAAAACCACATTCATTTACTGAAGACCACAGAAGCAAAACAAAGTTTGTAAATTGCCTGGAACTGGATTTATTATATGAACCACATATAACAAAATATATCTCAAATATAGCTCTGGCTGAGCATTTTGGAACGACTGCAAATTCCTTAAGTAGTAAATACCTAATGCTAACTGCAGCATGTACAAATTATTCTGCACATATGTCGACTCTACAAGCACATGTTCTGTATCTAATGTGCAAACAAGTTGCTGATGAGATGGATTTGTCCTGTATTAATTTCACCCTGTACTGACTCAACAAGTAGTTATTCAACTGAGGTTGGTGTTAATCCTAAAATAGCTGCATACAGGCTGCATTTCGGTATATGTCTAGTCACATCTATGTTGTGAATATATTGTATTTACATAAAGCAAAACACATTTATTGTGGACTAATCCTGTGAAGGTTTGTCATTTGTATTTCTGAATTCTTCAATGCCCCAAGAAACACAAAATCAAAATCCAGAAAGAAGAGTTCATTTCTATTGGTTGCTAGATATATACCATATTCACACTGTGTTCGGAGTGGATTGTATAAAGAGAGGCATTAAAAACACAAATTAGCATCACATTTTACTCAACAAGACTAAAGCACATTGATTTATGTCTTAAGCAGAAAACAACTGACAAGCATATAATGCCACGGCACTTAAAACATGTTAAGGTTTAAATCCTTTCTGAAATCAAAGGACGTTAAACACCAAGAAGGTCCATATCTTAAATGAAGTAGTTCAATATTTCATGGGGTGAGAACATTATGCCTACACATCTGTACAGAGTACAGAGCCATCAAGAAACATTAATTGTGATACCCATCCGTACAATATTGCACTCTACCCGCCATCGTGCTGGAACAGATGGACCTGCATAGGGTCATCACTGAGCATAATGTCGTGCCAGTTTGCAGTCGGCCAGTCTCAGAATACCTCCATGTCCAGACGCAGTGTCTTACCTCATGACCTTTACCAGAGCTGATCTGGCCACGGTGACATACAGGTGTCTCTACAGCAGCTTGGGATGCAGGACAATCCTGTTGTTTTTGCTTTTCCAGATGTACAGATACAGAAACAAATGCAGGTATAATTTATAGACACAGAAAGGCATGTGATATAATGATGATTTTGAAACAGTTTTGATGTTCTATTTAAGTCTTAAGACGTGTTAAACGGAAACCGAGAGTTCTTTGCATTCTATCTCTTCCATTTCTGTTCAGGGGCTGGTTGTTTCGTTAGGGTGAACCCTGTTTAGGGACTAATTGCAGTTGGCCTGCCAGACAGTAATTGTGGAAAGTGTATGCCTCAGTGTGCTCCTTGAGCTTTGTTTTTCTTGTAGTGGCTAATTTAATCTGGGGATTTTTATTTTTCCAGTAAAATTTGATTTAACGGAATCTAATGAGTGAAACCAGTTAGTGGCGGGTTGAGATAGGATCATTATAAAGCGTCATCTTTAGGTAGAATTACCATTTAACAGTTGATATTCTGCCAATTATAGAGACAGGTCAATTCATCCAGTCATCTTCTAGTGTTTTTAGTGGAGACTGATGTTCATTTGGAACAGGTCTGGGGGAAATAATAATGACTAAATATATAATGTTTACAATAGAAGTAGGAGGGGGTAGCTCTGGAGTTGCAGTGTTCCAGCTATCTCCGCTTAGGGGTGGAATTGTGGATTTTGTCCAGTTAATACAGTAATTGAATATTTCACAAAATATTTATGAGATTGATGGCTTTCTGTAGAGAATCTGATGGATCCCACAAGCATAATGGTACACCATCTATATATAGATGTCCATTGGGGTTTTCTATTCCCTTAATGTTTTCATTTTGTCTTACTGCAGCAGCTTGCTGAGAGGTTCCATCTTCCCAGCAAACCTGAATTGAATTGGATGAAGTGGTTAGAAAATGGACGGGTGTTTTGATCCAAAACTTTGAAATAGTGCATTCGTCATTTTTAATTCAAAATCATAAGAAAGGGGATGAAAAATAGCGCAAGGCACAGTAACAATTTTGTTGGTCTTTTTGCATCCACGTGTCTTCTAGGTAAGGACAATAATAAGGTTATCATACCTGTAGGCTTAAGGCTAGGACACTCTGTTAGAAATGGCATTCCAGTGCCTTGAAATAGAGACAAAGAATTTCTTTGCGTCAAAAATGTCAACTTATACCCAGCTGAGGTGAAATCATGCAAGCCATCTGGTCCAATTAGTGCCAATACAGAGCTTGAATCATTTACAGCACTGCAAGCTCACAGGCACCTCACAATTCCAGAGGGTCACTGCTGAGTGAAAACTATAGGCTGCCCAGAGCGGGCGGCATCTGGTCAACTGTGCATGCCACACTGACTTTTAAACTAGTCCTGACTTGAATGAGTGGCTTGTAGGTCAGCTCTGCACTCCCAATGTGCACCTTTATGGGTGCTTCTCTTGTGAGCCCTACTTCAGGAACATGCATCTCTGGTCCTGGACACCCACAGTCCTGCATGAATTACAAGTGGCCTTAAATAGTCAATGAGAAGAGATCTGGAAACTGTTAACAGTTCATCTGGATCTGTAAGAATGTAAGAAAAGTTACAAATGAAAGGAGGCCATTTGGCCCATATAGTCTGTTTGTTAGTTAGTATTGAATAGATCCAAGCATCTCATCCAACCATTTGTGGTAAGGAGACAGGGTATAGGCTTTACCAGCATGGCTGGGTAGCCTGTTCCATACTCCCACAACCCTGTGTGTCCCGCTGTCAGTTTTAATTACACTTCACTTGTGTGTTCTGGTACATGTTTCACTGTTGATTCTGAAGACATCCACTGGGCTGACTTTGTCTGTGCCTTTAAGAATTCTGAATACTTGGATCATAATCTCTGTTTGAGACATACAATAATAGGTTCAGTTCCTTCAGTTTGTCAGTGTTGGACATTCCCTTCAGCCCGGGGATGTATCTGGTTGCTCTTCTCTGGACTCATTCTAGAACAGCAATATCTTTTTTTATAACATGGCAACTTACATTGTGCATAGCTGTCTAAATGAGGTTTTACTAGTCTTTTAATGATATATTTATATTGTGTGCCCTTTTAAATGCTTAATAATTATGCTTTAATGGCCTACTTAAGCTACTTCCAGATTTAATGAAGCCATTCAGAGTTTGGCTGAAATATAAACATGAAGACACTGTGGCTCTGCAGGAACATAGCTGTTGACTCCTGCCCCAACACCAGATTTCATGATAAATCCACCTTCTGCAAAGCATTTCACTGCTAGGAAAAGGAAACTGTATACTATAAATGTAAAGAGTTTTTTACATCCCGTGGGCTAAAAAGAACATTTATAACTGGATGATTAAAGTTTTTTCTACAAGAGAAAAAAATACAACACCTACAGTACTGTACTTCGATGCCCACATTATTCAATGGACATTCAGAATTGTTCTATATTTTTTGTTTCAAGTCATTATTGAAAAAGATAACAGATGTTGAACTCCTTTACATACCCTTTATTTAAATCCAGAGACATTTATTTGGCATAAAAAACAGTGACAATATCTCTAGTGTGAAATGGTGAAAGTTAGCCAAAAGGGACTGAGTTAGTAGAAAATGCTTAAATGTTAATAGGAATATAGCAACTTCTATATGTAATTAAGACAACTAGGAACACGCAAACTGAAATTAAATGTAGGACCTCATTATAATGTTAAATCCCCCTTTGTATTGGTCTAAGTGGGGTTTTCCAAAACTGAATGTCAATTCTTTAAATACATGTTCTACTGTAACGTATTCTAGAAAAATCAGCATCACTTCCATATCCCATTGGACTACAAATATGACAGTCCTCTGTCAATCTCTTTGTGAAGACATTGCTGTTTGCACTTGTATATCAGATGTAGAAGGAGTTTACCACAATACATCTGGTGTCTTTTAGCATATATCACTTAGGCATTGTTCAGGTGGTGCAAATATTACAATACTAAAAGCCCTTAAATGGATACCACAACTTGAAGGTGGTTGTACAGAACTGTCTAGTCTTCTGTCTTCTTCATATCCACATGATGTGCAGAATACACATTCCTCACATTCACTGGAATTTTCTGAAGCGCGCCAGAAGAAAGGTTTTTTCAATGGAGCCTAGAAGGCAAAAGAAATGGTATATTTAGCACTGATGTGCGGCGAATGCTTCAAGAACATTCTTTCTGCCTCATAAAATTAAAACAAATTACAATAAGTAGGCACAGTATCTATAGTCAGTATTTAATCTAACCTGTCACAATCTTCTTCCAGTCACCAAAATGTCAAATTATCAGTCTTCAATTCTTTTTCTTTCGGGCGTCACTGATTTTATTTTCAAGCTATTAATGGAGATCTTTACAAAAATACAAAAATATTAGAATTTGAGGAAAATTTAAACCATTATCACCACCTGCACATCTATCATAGGTTTTATCTTTTGCAGTAGTTATGCAGAAGACAATACCCTGAAGACAACTGCTAGAGAGCACTAGTTCCAGACTCTACATTTACAATTTTTAATCATGACACATTCTTTAAAACAATCTGTCTCATGATCAAAGATTCTGTGTTGTGATCTTCAATTAAGCCTCTCATGTGGTTATGTTTCTCTCTACACCACTGATACACTCTAAAGATTTATACATTTTGGACTGCAGCCTTTTTCATTGATGTTCCTATAGAAATCACTTACTCCCACCTTACCAATATGAAATGACCTTCCACGTTTGGCATTTCATGGTAGAGATTTATATAGATGGCAGCTTTGCATCGTTTGATCCGTTACCGCACATTCCTGATGTGAATTGCTCACTGTGATTCTACTAAATTTAAAAAGTAAATGTTGCTCTAAAAAAAAAATCAATCAGCTTTGTTTCATTTGCAAAATAGACATCAATCCTGTGACAAGGTTCCTGTGTGAACTCCTCATCTTAGACTTTTGAAACAGCCATACAAAATCACGGAGTTGTAGCATGTGCTTGATATTTATTTCAGCTATGCAAAGGATTATCACTGATAAAACATGGTAAAGCAAATGGCTACTTTATTTATAGTTACAATTAGTGAAATAATACGTATGGCATTTTACCTGTCAAACTGGTTCTATAGTTTGATATATTTCTATAGTACTTAACAATATCCTCAATATGAATTTTGTCATTTCAGATCACGTATGAGTTTTTCTAAGGACAAGTCAAAAACTTGAAAGCAAAACAAGTATTCCTATTATCTGGTTAATGCACAACAAACCGGATACAAACAGTTTATTGAAACTAAGGATTTGGCCGTACAAAACAAGTCCTCTGTAATATAGGGCATATTTTATCGGATTTAAGAATTCATGAGAACAACTGTGTATTGCAGACAGGGCAAACATGATGCAAGTGAAATGCTGCTCAATCTCATACTGTAATAAAGGTCAACTGCTCATTATTAGGCCATTTCCACTGTTCTTAAAATATTAAGCTTCCTTTTAAACTTATGTTGAGATCTGGCAGTGGCCTTAATATTACTTGTAAAAACCTTTCTGAGTAAGGTTGAGCCTAAATCTTTTATCAAGTCACCATTATATCATTTAATATGAAACTATCCCAGCTGTGAAACTGGTTAATAGTATGATATAATCCTTGTTTCTACTGTTTTTTATTATGAATATCGCTTTAACCTATTTTCCACTTGCCTCCTCAGGTACTTACATCTTTGTTCATCCACATCAACATCTTTCAGGATACTGTATGCGAAACAAATACCAGTTTAATCTGCTTTGTTCTAGGCTAAAATATTAAATTTAACAGATTATTTCAGGACAGGAGATTTGGAGACTTTTACGGTGACCGGGAGGATTCCAAAATGTTCAAGATTTTTTTACATTGTTGTCTAATGTAGTGTATATACAGACTAACATACTGTATACTTATTTCGTACTGAGCCATTACTAAAAAGCCTTTCACTGAGTGAAGCAAAGCACAGAAAGTATTTATGATATGCATTATTTACAGAGGCTGCCTTTAGGTGCTCAGTCAGTGACACTGGTGAGGATTTCTGATGTTAAATGGATTGTGATGCATTAGATCTCTTTATGTTTTACATGTAATACAGATTCAATACAGATTTTGGATAGGATTTTAGAATGACTTCCTTACTGAACTGACAAGTGATTCAACTGAACTATTGTAAAGAATTTAATTAACAAGTAAGCCAGCCAACCTGTGCTGAGGGAAATATATTTTACTACTTCCAGGGATAGTCTGGACTTGTTTATATAAAATGCCATATGCCAGTTTGCTCAGTTTTGAATTTTAGCAAAATCTTTTGAATTTCCTTTGCTGATTTTATAGTATTTCCCAACAATAGTATAATATGTCCCTATTGTGGTACCATCTGCCAATTATTCCAGAATGTAGATCATTGCTATAAAAGAGTACTGGTCCAAGAACATAACCATGTGGTACTCCACTAATTAGTTTACCCCTGTACCACTACAACCTGGACACCCATTTGTAGGACTTGACCTGGGTTCATTCATGACCTGAGTGCATTCTAAACTCAGAATTTACATTTTGTAGAATTAAATTTACATCTGAATTACCTTTTGAGATAGACACCTGTTGTATGTGATATTTTGGGGTGGGGATAACTTTATCAGAATAAACCACTGCGCCATGTGTGGAAACATTTTGTATAGTTCTAATGCAAATGCAGTACTCACCTCTAAGTACCCATTCATGTTAGTAAAAGAAAGTGACCATAGCTGTGTAACTTCCTGAAAAAACTGCCTGAATTCAGAGCACAATGGCACCATGCACCATAACTTCTTGCATCCTCTACACATCTACACATTGCCGTTCTAGTATGTTCCTCTGAGGGATAATTAAGCAATTATTTCAATTTAGCATTATGCAATGCACAACCTACATGGTTTTTTTAAAGGGCAATTTGAAAATCCTGTCCTGCCTGAAAGTGTGCATGTAAGCATGGGATTGTACAGTAATACCCTGGGATACAGAGCCCACAAATATGGAAACATCTGTGAGCATTAGATGTTGCAATTTTTGACACCATTAAATATAAAGTTTCTCGCAAATTAAAAGCCTGTGTATTTTGAACATTTAACCTTTACCTTTGTCATGATCTTCAAAAGGAGTGTACTGATTATACCATTCACTCAATAATAATGTGTTTCATTATTATTATTGTTAAATACTTTTATATTCATTTATTTTTTACTTCCACATTATTTATCTGGACAGTGCTTTTTATGAATGTGGTAAAAAAAAACATTATGATCAAGAATGTGTTAAAGCAGCCAATTGGACAATCTTTATTTTTTCTCAAACATTATTATTATTATTTCTCCCTTACTAATAAGGTGCATGTATTTAGACAGCATGAACGTTCAAAGTGTGCACAAAATTTCATCTTTAAGTTTGTGATGATTTTTGTTCTGCTTAATGTTTTGAATTGCTTAATGTTTAACAAAAGTTTAGCAAAGTGAATAGAATGGTGTGTGCTAAAATGAGTCATCGGTATCAGATCTCTGGCTGAGTTTAATTATTAAAAAGGGCATGGCTTTAACAAAATCGTTATTACATTAATGTTTTTAACATGCAATTGGCAACACTATAAACGGAGTGTGGTGTCTGCACTGAGACCTGCACTTTCTCACACAAACGTTTGGCTTGATTTTGAAAACTCGTCTTTAGCATTACCTATCGGTTTTAGTCTGCAGTAACATGCATCAGACATTCTTACAACTGTACATATTTGTAAACTATATAATAATATTTCATATAAACTATATATATTCTACTAAAGTTTTAGAAAAACCTACTGTATATGGACTTAATAAGCAGACTCAGAAGCATTTAAAATTTAACAAATTAGTATAGGAGCTGATAGCATTTGTTGTGTTTTGAATGCCTCTTGATACAGTATATATGAAAATGGCCCTCCTTTTCAATGATGATCCAATATATGAACTTTACATATATTGGATCATATTCTAAGATCTTAGCGGTCTTACACAAAACAGACAAAAAGAGTTATTGACCAACTAGATAACATTAAAAGAAAACAGCCTTAGTCAATGGTAAAGTAACAGCTTATTCAATATATGGCAATGGCTATTCTCAGCAAAACATAATGCTTATGCATGCAAGACTGGAAAACATTTCCTCACACATAAGGTATTAATGCATTACACCATAAAATCCACACATCCCCGACGTTGGTTTCTAAGTTTCTGGAGGAGAGAATACATGTTACAATAAGAATGTGAAACCAGGGATTTCATGAAATTGTGAAACATTTAACCAAGGATTTCAAATAATCCCTAAATATTCCAGTAAATAGGTGAAATACCTGGTTCTTTTTCACATTTTAGATATATGATTAAATATGCTATAATTTCTGTGACATATACAGTATATAAATTAAGATTATTATAAGATGTTGCTGCTTAAAAGCACAACTCAAATAAAACATAAGTGTTATAAGTCCCAACCCTCCCCCATAGTGGATTTGAAATATATACTTTTACAATTTCTCATACATTGAGTACAACAGTGCATCTATAATTACAGGACAACCTTATTGTACTCAATTTAGCTCAGCCTCACAGCTGTTAAATGGACAAACTCAGGAATGAGGCCTTTGTTTTTTACTTAAGCTACAGTATGCTTGTGCATTGTTCTTCAGTGGCAATGTCAAAGGACAGAGCTGGAAACAGAAGATGGGGAGTAACAGCTTGTATTCTACACCTGTGACATACAGGTAGTATACGATATGGGCACTGTTTCAACCAGGGTGGTCTTAATGATTTGAGGCCTTGGGCAAAAGTCAAGTTTCGGGCCAACCTGGACCTATCATGAACATGAATAAAGGATTCAGTATGCACAATACACGTACCTTCAATAATGCACCGCAGTTCGCGTTATGATTTTACATGATTTTAGGATATAATGATGTCTCATAAGAAGAAAAGGTTCAGGACCAGCATTCAAGCCAGCTGTATGTTTCATCTTGCAGGGTGACCAATTAAATGTAGGACAAAGACAACAGCTTTGCTAGATCCCTATATCTCGTACGATAAGGTTTTGCCATTTTTAAAGATGGCATAAAGAATTCCTCAACTGCATAACATGGGCTTGTTTTTTCTTAATTGGGCCCCATCTTCTTTTGTAGCGATACAGACACTCTATAGAAATCCAGTTCATGCTCTGAGGATACCCTCCAGTGTGTTTCACTTTCAACTCCATGCCTTGACCTACATGAAAGCTTTTGCCTTAATGATCGCCACTATCTTTGCAGTCATTCTGCTTCCACCTGTCTTAACAAAAGACATTTCAGTGAAAGAAATTCCACTCACTTTTGTCGGGCGATGTCTGGGTGCAACATGCAAATTCAATTATGCACAGTTACACAAACAAAATAAAAGTTCTACAAAGATATTAAAGAAACTGACCTATTGCGGAAATAAAATACTGTTGATGGTGCAAAACCTTTAAAACAAAACTTAAAACAATGATCTTACTGAAATCTAGAGGTAAATATGCTCCCTGCTAATGAATTACAGATAACCACAAATTATCGCTTAAGGGCCCTGAAATGTTTTCATGAGAAACATTTACCATGGCAAGTTTATGCGGGCACATTACCTGCAGGGCTCTGGCAACTACAGTTAATCTCAGAACAACCCTGTGATCTCTTCAGTGTCAGGATCCAAGTCGATGTCATAGAAACAGGGGCGAGTGGGAAGTCCTGGCATGGTGCTCATCTGTGGAGAGAAGAAAATATGGACACAATATGTTATCCTGGAAAAACTCCATTCACCAACTTAATAACAGGAATAATTAAGTATAAATAACAGTTTCAACATGTCTGTGTGTACAATTAGCCCTACTAATACCACCTTTAAGTCTATTGTCATCTTAATATAACTTTTAGTGGGTAAGCGATTGTGTGCCATAAGCAGTATCTAAAATAGTTCTTTATAAGTACAAAAGAAGAAAACAAAACCACATAAAGTAGAAGAGTTGTACCTTGACTACAATCGTGGTTCATACAAATGATACATTGTAACACACCAGACATTCAAGACTCATTCAAACGTACAAGGGTCAAATTATATTAAGGTACCTAAAGACCTTGACTGCACAAGATGGGAAAGCGATCAGTATCACAGTTTAGGACCCTTCTACTTGTCGTCAGGCCAAGATCACCACTGGCTTTGCCTGGAGTCTTACTTAGTAAGAAATTGCTATATGCAAGAGACTAACAATACTTAAGTTGCTCATTAAAAGTTGTCTGACATTCAGTATTAACAACATCTGTGTATACATTTTGACCTACAGAAAAAGGGCTTTTAAAAAAGCTGGAGCATTTTATAATGTTTCAATACTGCAAAGGGATGTGGATAAGCAGATGAAAGATCTAGTAGAACACTCAGACTGAATATGAAAAATAACAGAAAATATTTTGACTATTTAAAATAGTCAAAGCAAAGGATTGTATATAACATACTTGTGTGTATACACGTATACTGTATAAAGCTCAATGTCTGTGTTTTGGTATGGCTGCCCTTTATACATTCAAAAACCACTCAATAGAACATTACCAAATCTGGCACATAGATGCAGATGGACAGAAAGTGTTTTTTGAAGATACTGCACATTTTCTATCTCTGTGCATGCACAGTTGCTTCGTGTGTGCTTTTTGTCCTGTACTGCAGCTATAACTTTTAATTTGTACAGTTACAGAAAATGTATAAAATGTAAGTGACCAGCTGTAGCCCATGGAAAGAGATTTCCAAGTCATATATTAGACTTTGTCTTGAATAATAAGCACCATTAGCACATTATGGTACATGCATTTTTTGGGTAAAACACCTGCATTAATGGTCTTATCATTGTAATGTTCCATTACATTTGGCATATTCCAGATCTGTGGAATGCCTGCACTCTTTATTTGCAATATTCTGACACTTGCAAATCACACAACCTGCACCATATCTAGTACAAAGGTTGGTATGTTTATTTAATTTCCAAGTGAAACCATGTAATTTTAGCTTGTGCATTACAAAATGTAAAACAGTTCACATTCCGGATGTCAGCTTTCAGAAAGAAAAACCTTGGTAAAAGGCGGCAAAGATTCTCATGCTGAAAGATCCTTATCATCTTTCTCAGATGCACATTGTACAATCTCTCTAACATACTGTGTTGAAAGCTGTAAATGAGAACTGGAAACCATTTTTAGTCATTGTTTCACTGCAATTTAAGAATGAATTTAAAAACTTTTTAAAAAAGTACATATAGAGGCATTTTTTAAAAAAGTAAAGAGATAGCAGCAGAGATGACAGAAATTTAGTTTTTGCTGTCCCTGCAGAGAGAGAGCTACAGGAGTTTTCTTAAAGTGCTTTTAAGCTAAAACAATTTAAATATCTAAGTGTCAATTATAAAAAAAAAATAAAGCTCCAAATTAAGATACTTGTAAAACATCTGATACTGTCTCTTTATGAAATCTTGATACAGACAAGGAAGTTTGAACTTTTAAAGCAGCACTGAACTCAAGTTCAGTTGATTGCACTTCAAAGCAAATCTGTGAAAGATTATTATAATTATTTTTCCCACATAATGCACAGGTAGTCTGGAAACAACAAGCAGATATTCAAGTTAGGAAAGAAAACCTTTTTTTTATTTTGGCAACTCAACTATCAATAAAGCTTGTATGAAGTTGCCATGCATTCAGCAGTCTTTTGTCAGAAGCTGTTCCAGTGTAAACAGGACTCCCTGGTTTGTGTAGTTTGTGTTTATCTGAATCATATCTGAATCTCTTCCACATGTAGATGGATAGAATTCAGGAAGTCAAAATACCAGTAGCAGTATCTACAGTAGATGTATCTAACATACTCAGATTTTTTTTCATAAAATTCCATTAAAAGTCAGAATAGCAAATTACACAGTTGAATCATTTATATCACCTTTACTATTTCTGCGATCTATATAAGCCAAGAATTATGAATTGCACACATATTATTACAGTGCAATCATAGCAAATTCTCAAAGTCAACCCAACAGATTTCTTCAGAACTGACAGTGAAATTTGAACCTGAGGAGAAGTGGAAACGATGTAAAGTACATTTCAAACAGAGAACGGAAGACACTTCCACAACCGTTTGGGTAAAGGACTGTGGAACAAGCTACCAGCCATGCAGTTGGCTGGCTCTAAGAAACAGCTGGAGCAGATCCTTGGATCAATTAACTACTAATTACATGACGGGGTAGTTGGGCCAAATGGCCTCTTGTTGTTTGCGACATTCTTGCATTTTTCTTATGGAGCAAATCCAGTTATTGTTCGCTCCTTTGTAGGAGCTGCCCTGGAGATTAAACATCAAAAGCGTATGATTCACATCACCTGAATCATAATTAACAGTGAGATACAAATGTAAACTGACTATGGATTTGGGGAAAAGATATAATAGTTATTTAGCTTTGTTTAAGTGTGATCCTATGGTAATCTCCCAAACCTGAATGGTTTTCTCACACCTGTGTTCTAGAAAATAGGGGGATGCTTGAGCAAACTGCACTTACGGAGCTGTGGCCCATACAGATCAAACAACGTAACAGCATTGTGAAAATAAAAATAAAAACTATTCTTCACAAATTCTATGACACAACAACTTAAAAACACAAAGGATATCCTTGTAAGAGTCTGAAACCTGAAACATCTCATAAACAAATATTCCTCTTCCTCCTGGTGTTCACATGCTGTACAGGTAGGTCTCAATTTACATGGCAAATGCGTTCCTGAACATTCGAGTTGAAATCAAAAGCATGTAAATGAAAACTAATTTCCTATAAGAATGCATGGAACTAGATGTGTTCAACCAAATGGATGAACTTAAAAAAGTAAAAGAATTAAAAAACAAATTTATCCATGCAAGCTGTTTAGATAGTTGTACTTAAAGTAATTAATTTATCAATTTTATGTAAAACGTGAAGGGAAAATTGTTGTCATTGTTGAGTAGTAACTCATGTGCCCACAGACAGCAAGACTTCTCAGTACCTTTCTCTTTCAGTCCTGTTACTATCAGTGAGTCTTTAAAATGCCGTTTATTCTGAAGTCTCATAAGTAACATTTTTTTTCTTTTTTTTGGCTTTTAGCAGATTATTAAGAGTAAACATTTGTTTAATCATTGTATTTATTGCATATTTAGGCTGAGGATAGTGTATTGATTTGTTTTAAAAAATGACTTAGTATAAAAATACTTTTCATCTGGAAATAACTTTCTTGTTTCTTTGTAACCAAGATGCATTGACACAGCTTCCACCCAAACCTCTTAAATTGATGCTTTTTCTACAAATTCTTTGCACTGAATTTTGTTTTTAAGATTTTTTTCACACGGTATAAATAGAGATACAGACTAAGCCAACGGCATTTTCTTGATTTATTTAGCTAGTGTGAGATAACGTGAGATGAACAGTAGCTGGAGAAATAGTGAGACAAAGACTGCCCAGCTGTCTGTGTCACCCAGCCAGCTTAATTCATCCAAATGCACAGCTGGGTACATGCGGTGTATATTGTCTCAAACACATCATCAAGTTGCCCAACGCTGTCTACACCAAAGTTTGCTGAAGTGTGAACTGATTTGTTAATAAGTTAAGACGTAGTATATATCCCCAAGGGGAATTAACCCAAAGACTAGCAAATAGAGAGGGTGTAAATCAAGAACTATCTTTATGTGCTTCTGTATAATTTAATTTTACAATGAGACTGCAAGATTCTTGGGGAACTGTGGTTAGCACTGTGTAACAAAGTTGCACTAGCTCTACAGGTATTTATTTCATGTTGAACATTTTAAACAGTCCTTAAAAATGGAAAAGGTATTTCTGATCTCTTGAATGATGGTCTTTTTAAAAATATGTGCAAAAAAGGCTCGTTCTAGGTTACATCACAAAATTATTTAATAAAAAGAGGGGCAGGATACTGAGCATTAGAAAAGAAAGTTATCTACTGAGTGTTAGGGCTCCATTTTACTTTTTGTTTACCCTGGATTAGCTTTCAATCCTCAATGGTTCAAATGCTGGGAGGGATGTGGTTTACAGGACTTTGAAGACCCCAGGTCGAGTCCACTGGGGTAAGAAATCTTCTCCCAACAAAGGTTGAGTGCAATTTTCTCTTGCTCTGGCACTCTCATGTTTTGTTTACATAGAGTTTTTTCATGAAAGCACAATTTTCAGCTCAGCCATCATGTAAATTTGACAAAATGACCCAGCCTGATGTTTCCATAGAGAGACAGTACTTTTTTTTTATTTGCCAGTTAAATGAAAGTTAAATGGTCAAGCCAATCACCTTGATATACTGAAAAACACAAGGCACAAAAGGCAGAAAGATTTATGTACAAGTTCCATGTGTTGGAAACAAGAATGCACAGCAGCTATTAAGAGAGAATGAGTATAAGAATGAGTTAATTGTACTCCTACAACATTCAGGAAACGTAACAACTGGGCCTGAAGGTTAATGCAGACAGGCAGCGGGGTGTTCTTAAAAAGTACAACAGCTAGTCCAACCCCACCTTTAAAACATACAACAGCCAGAAAGAAAGTTATCTTTTCGTTTAATAAGGAAATCCATGTGCATACTCTATGTAAGCAGATATTGCTACCATATTAATATGCAGCCACTATGCCCTACATGTTCACTGCACCCTTTGCAAGAACCTGACAGCAAGATTAGTTTTTGGACAAGTAGAATTGGTCAAAATGATTCACTACATAA